TCGCCAGTCTGATCTACCCAAAAGCGAAATTCCACCAAGACAAGCTCAGCGCGGTGTCGAAAAGTCTCAACGAACCGATGAAGAGGAGACGGCAAACGAGAGCTTTGGCGAAGAAGACGTTGTTGTGGAATGCGGATCATCTCTCTCGTTTCGCCACGTCAACTTTCTGCCGGTCAGTCCACGGTTGTGACGTTTCGCCTCCTTTGACCTGTCGTTTCTGGCGCAAATGGCAACCCAGCGACGATGATTTCCGGGAAACAAGATTCAAACCAGTCTTTGAATGCCATCGACCGGACCACAAACTGCTACTGTTGCCTGCAATTGCATCCAAGACGTCGCGTCAGTTTCATTTTGCACCTTCTCACTCACCAGGAGATCAACCAATCACCCCATCCCTACTCTTTGCGTGCCTCCCATGCATCCAAGAGACTGGGCGTCCTCCAACACATACACAATCTCCTCAAGTAGTGCAAGACGCACTTGTCTCAGGAATTTCGGAACCCGCCGAATCTCCTGACTGCCCGAGACAATTGCCGCGCACTCGCAACAGACAAACGCGCTTCCCCAAAGTGACTCAGGGGGAAGCCACGCAAACGAGCTGCCGGCAGAAAGCACACACCCAGCCACATAGCCAGCTCTTGCAAAGTAGCATCAGCGTGACAGTCGACCTCCTCAATCCTCCGAAGCTTGGACTTGATATTGGGTCCACGCTCCATCTTGCTGTGGAAATTGCGTTGTGACGAGAAGTATGGTTGTGGTGGCTTTTGCAGTGCGGCGCTCCCGTCGTGTTGGTAGACTCGTCGCCAGAATGACGTCGTAGGTGACTACGCAGCGCTCTCTGTCAAAACCTCCTGATGGAGATGGAGGTCTGGGCGCTCCGGCGCAGTCACCTGTGAGATCATGAGCAGTATTTAGGCGCGTCTTCTGCGCGCGTCGTCCATAGCCACAACAACAACCTCATGACCTTCTGAACCTCCACCGCCGCACTTATATCCCTCCAATATGCCACCTGCAAACGATCAGTGGAAGCTCAGCGTAAGCGATGCCACGGTTCCATAACCGAGTACGTCACCTCCTTCGATGACCTTGTGGCCAGGGTCGAGACCGAGGAAATACAGGCATCCCATCACCTTCTCCCACACTTTCGTCAGCACGCCCATGACATTCTGGCATCCATGGAACCCTTGCTAGTATCGCCCTGTCCCCCGAAGCTGGCCATCATCCCAAGGCCAAGAAGGTTTTGCAAGAGCACGCTGCCGATATGCAGCAGCCAGCCATTCTTGCTCACTACCTTGTCGACGCATGCGGACAACCTCCACAGCAAGAATATGCTGCCTGGATCCTCAATAAGATGGAAGAATACGCCAATGCGGGCGACGCCAAAACTGTCAAGTTCATCGACACGGCTATCAAGGCAGATGGCGCCCAAGGAATCAACTGGGGTCAGCAGCAGGGGTACCTTCCAGATGGCGACCATCGTGACAAAGCCCTCGATTTCATCCGCAACGCTCGTCGACACATCTTGCCTGGCACCGGCAGGATGACACGTCCTTGGGGAGCCTTTGAATGCGCTGTCGATTGTCAGACTCGTATTGAAGAGCACAGGAAGCATCAGAAGGGCGCCTACCTCATGTATCTCGCCGAGGCAATTTGTGCCCGATACCTGCGGCAATATAGCATCAAGCATTTCATCATTTGCAAGCTCTGGGCTGTTGAGCAGGCTTGGGCGGGCGAGGTCTTGATGACTCGCATCGGAAATGGGTATACGACTTCTGGTTGGGGTCTCAATTCTCTTCCTGCAAGCTTCAGTGCCGAGGACGCCGACGAGGTTCCGATGGGCAAGTGGTGCGACTATGCTGAACATGCTCTCTTGCACTCTCCTCTCCGCGGTATGTAGACAGCCTTTGTGTACGGCCTTTCTGACCTGGACAGCAAACTACGAAAGGCAGACCCAGATCGCTATTGAAAGAGCGAAAAAAGCCGCAGAGCAAGAGTCGCGTCGTATCGAGGCCGAGATCGCCGACAAGGAGCGTGAGCTCGAGCTCAGGAAGCAAAATCAGCACCCCGAGCAGATCCGCAGCAGGGAGCGTCTTGAGGAGATCTTGCGCCGTCGCGCTCGTGGCGATTGAGCTTCAACAGCCCGACAGCTTGAGTGGGGTGGGATTTTCTGGGCAGTGAACAAGTTGAAAGATACATGTATGAATTCACGGAGTTTTCTGGTATACAATGTGACGGCTCTGTCGAACTCGCTCACGGCGTTCGCCTGATTGTCCCTGAGACTTCATTGCTTTTCTGCGAGAGTCAGCGACTACCCGCGGAGCTTGTATCGCGATCGAGAACGAGGCACAAAGCTCTTTCAAGACATCCTGAATCGCCTGCTTGTTTTGATCTGGGTTGGTGCTGACGGTCGAGGATGGCAAGTTGTTCAAGTCGCTTGTGATGAGCTTGTCGACGCGCTACCATGCTGCGCAGCCTTCCTCGAGAGACTGATTGTTTTCAAGGCTGTTGACAGTAGCACGCTTTCAGAATCACCAGGGTGTTGCCAGGAGTCTTTGTTGCCTTTTGAAGTGAGTGCAGCAAGCGCGGAGTCGACCTCGTCGAATGTGGGAGAAGGTAAGTCATCCACCCCGAATCATCAGAATCCAGAGCAATCTCACAGTACTCCCGGGCCTGCTTGAGTTAATTCAATAGTCTGGAGGTCGCAGATGTAAGAGTCTTGACGGAGGTCTACTCGGGTCGTCCTAGCATTTGTGATCTGAGCATCTCGTTGTTTACGCGAAGACAGCGGATGTGTTTATTGGAATCAAAACGACTGACCGTTTGGACGCGAGTGGGATGTTGACTGTGGCACAGTCTCTTTTTTCTGTCGACTCGAGCGAGAAGAGAAATTTTCGGAGATGTTGTTATGCACGCCGTCCTCCTGCAGCACGAAAGATCTGACCGACACAATCTTTTGACCGGTGGGAGTTCGCTTGCTGACAGTGCTTGCTGTGGCACAGTCTGGTGAAAAGCAAGACGTATAGAGGCTATTCTAGGACAGCAAGACATTCGAGTCCTGTATAGAATTGAGGAGGTCCAATCTTAGGCGTTGCGGCAGACAAAGCGTCTTGTAAATAGACAAGTGATGCGCATCTTACGCCCAAAACACGCTCGGGGACGGAATGGTTTCCGAATTCTCCACTTGCCTGCAGAGTCGGCTTCGCTTGCCGACATCCAATAACAGGGGACAGCGTGCCGTTGGAATGCAAGTGGCGTGCATCTTTCTCTCGTAGAAGCGAAACAAGCGATAAGGAGAAGCGCGCGTCTAAAAATACGTGGCACAACGACAGTGAACGATCGACGCCGCGCTTGTCATTAAAGCATGCAACGACCTTCTGTTTCGACTCACCTGCAGACCAAAACACCCCGGCATTCGGGGCGCAGCCACGCAAAAGCGGGGACTCCAACGGCTTTGCGTCTTTGCGGGTTCGACCTGTCGGGATTCAAAACGCCCAACAGCCCTCGCCTCTCCGGAGTCCAACAATGTGCCGTGAGCGGCGTAGTGCGGCTCTGCTGTGAAGCTCCACACATCGCGTGGCTTCGTGGTCGATAAATAGGCGTTTGACGGGATGTATTGACGGTGCGACCAGTCGATTGCATCTGCCATCATGTCGGATCCTACTCGTGAGTGGGTGCAAGATTCAAGCGGGAGGTTTTTCATGTATCGATGGAGTGCTGGTAAGAAGAAGACACCAGAATGCGTATGCAGAACATGACGTCCGTCCAGAATCGCAGCAGTGGATCACTGTTTGGCAGAGTCGGTGAGTGTTTTTGACAGCGCGGATCTAGAGCAAGCTTACGATGAAAATAGTCAGCGACACGATTCTGTCCATTCCATGCCCGGGCAAATGCTCTTTGACGAACGTATGTAAACTGTCCTTGTCCCCCAAGAAGAAAGCTGAAAGCATCAGGCCCCCCTGAGAGTCTTATTAGAGGAACACTGGGAGTGGTCGAAGGGCTTGATCCAAGTAAGTCGCCGCCTACACGAACAGCAGTAACTGATTCCCCCAGGCTACGAAGTGCAAAGACGGCCTCGTCAATTCTTTCATGCCGGTCGGGTAAGCAAAGACCTACTTTCCAGTCCTCATCCACTCACGATGTAGATGTTCTCGGTCCTCTTCACCGAGCCGCTGGGCGAAAACGCTCGAAACGTCGGAGACAATGTAACCAGAGTCATATACGACCAGCGCGTCTTCTCGCAGATTCGGCGCTTCATCGTAGTGCAACCAAAACAAGGCTTTTGCTACGCAGTGTAAGTCGCCTTCCGCACTCCAACCCACCTCTCTTGACCACTAGCAGCCCAGTCTCCACGTACGGCAACCGCGGCGTCAACAAGCCCGGCGTCGAGCCGGAAGCACACGCCGTCGTCCACATGACCAACTCGATCCCCGTGTGGCTCCACGGCGAGCGCGAGCGCGGAATGACCAAGGAGCCCATCGCAGTGGTTCCTGCGAATGACGCCGTCTCTCTGACGCCTGCCTCGCGCATCAATTTCTCGCTCGCCCATCCCATCCAGTACAACGTCAAAGTCAAGGATCTCGGTCGTGTCTGCGATGAAGACATGGAGAATTTTTGCCTGTACTGGCAGACGGAGAGAGACAGATGCTATTGACGATACGTTCATTTTTCCAAGACTGGTATACGTTGGCGGGTTGGTTGCTTTGAGTTTGTCTTTTGGCGAGCGGTTCCGTTTTTTCTCTCTGTAGTTGCGGTCGCTACTTGGCTCGGTTTTCGGATGCTCAAGAGGTAGCAGAATAATGTCATGCGTGCGGAATGGGAGTAAGCTCCGCCCCGAGGTGCCGAAACGAAAGTGACACCCCCCCAGCATCATTCTGACATTTTTCAGTCAACTTTTTCAAGTAAATCAGTATCAAATAAAGACAGGCAGTGATTGAGGAAGACTCTGGTTGCATTAATAAAGCCTTCTTGCGATCCAGTTTTCATCAACAAGCAATAAATCAGCGTTGGTGGTTTAGTGGTAAAATTGATCGTTGCCATCGATTCCTGTGTTTCCTAGCACCAGATTTGACTCGATCAGCCCCGGGTTCGATTCCCGGCCGACGCATTATTCTTTTGCTCTTTTAAATATGTCATTCGGTGTAGAATGGCGTTGTGGGTTGATGTTTTGGTCCCGGGGCGGCCTGGGAAGCTTTTTGGTGGAGGCTCGGGTAACCGGGCCGATGGTGGCTGGAAAATGTGGACCGAGCGTCTCCCGACCATCTCGAGATGGAACGAGGACTTTGAAGGGCAAGCGAGGCATGTGGAACGTTGTTGTGTGGAAGTGATGTTTTTGGGTGGAGGGGCGTTTCGCAGTGCGGTCGGCGACGCGGTTGGATGGGAGAGCGGCCTGCCGACGATTGGAGCAGGAGACGACACCGCTGCACAATCTCAGCGGCAGATGGACTGTTGCTTTCGCATCCTTCGACAATGACAACCTCGTCAGTGTTTGCGGCGGGCAAAATGGTGGGAGCGGGCATGCCCGGGAGAGACGAGATCAGGAAAGCTAACGCAGAGGGAGCTTCGGGACTGCAGCAACTTCCAGATGCAACCAGTTGTCGATTTACAGCGCAAGTGCATTCCGATCCCAAGCGTTTGCAAGCCTGTCGAACAAAGTCAGTGGTCCATGGGAACAAAGTTAGACTGCGCTGCGGAAGCCAGAGAACTGGTGCAGCTTGCTCAAATTTGGCGACATAATGAGATTCAAGAGCTTCTGATGATTTGAGCCTGCGGAAAAGCCTGAGGAAAGGATGCAGCGTTGGTTGTCTGCAGGTGTTCCATTCGGCTCGCATGTTGCCCGCCCACCAGGCCCGTGCGCAGATGCTCGGTTCAATAGTTTTCCCGAAGGTCCGGCCAACTTCAGCCGTCCGTCAGCCCGACGTCCTCTCCACAACACCATCGTCGCCTTCTTCATTCCGGCGTCCATCTTGCCTCCGTCATTCAAACGTACGTCCATCTCGCGTGCTTTCAACTGGGCATCGACCCGGTCGGCCCTCGCGACTCCATCAGCCGGTCCTCTCTGGTTGCGTGCTGGCTCGACATAGCCTCCGGCCCGCACAATCCTCTCGAGGTGGACTCGCTCTGGCATTGCATGGGCTGGCCGTCTTTACCTGATCATCCATAACGCTCCATTTCGGCTTTCTTTTCCTCCTGGGCTGGTCTTCTCCGGATGTGTGCTGGCTCGAGGGAGACCTCTGGTTCGCACAATCGTCTCGAGCTGGGCTCGCCCATGGGGAAGGGGAAGAGGAACGTTGCGGTTGATGGTCCCGTTCGGTCGATCGGTCGAGTCAAGGCTGCTCTCAAGCGAAAGCTTGTCAAAGCCTGGGTGGGAGGGATTCCTGCGCTGCGGCGTGGGGGTTTTGTACTTCTTTTCTTCGTAGTGAATGTCATGGTTGATTGCTGGCTCTAGATTTTCCCCAGTGCTCTCTCGCTCAAACCCATTTGCTGCCATGATGGATGGCTGCCCCTGCTTTGCCGATCCCGCTCCGCACTTGGATTATGCCAACGAGTTTCTGGTGAAATGGCGCGACGCGCAAACAGGACACACTCAGTTTCTTGGCCAACTGGCTTCCGCTGGCCGTCGTTGCGGTGCCTTGTCCATGTGGTTCGCCGATGATGCAGAGCAGAAATGCATGATTGGATTCTCGCTGCCTTTGAGAATGCGAGCTGGAACCAAGAAGAGGCGAGATGTCCACGTCGTCCTCCCCGCCAAATCCTTTTCCAGCACGGACACGTCCTCCTTTTTCTCCCTTGATGTCGTGACGGCCCAAGATGATCCCGAGGCAAAACACGAGTTCCAGAAGGCCGGCCTTGATTCGTCTGCCAAGCTGCTCCGGCTCTCCTTTGACCTGCGAGAACGCGCCTACGCCATTATGCCCACCGAGCCGTTCACGCACCCCCTACCGTCGAATTCCCGCGGCCTCCTCCTCGGCCTGCGATCGCTCACATGCACCTTAACTTTCGACGTGTATTTGCCCTTCCTCGAATCTGCAAAAGAGTTGTTGGGACATTTCTCCACCAAGCCGCGGCGTCTGCCCGTAGAATCCCCACTGATCGACCACGTCAAGACGTACAGCGGCCGGTCGTGGGGCGTTGACCAGTGGGCCGTCTACGGGATCGAGGACGACGACGCCATGCCCAGCGCCTGGAATCCCGTCATCGATGACGATCCACCGCCGTACGAAGAGGCCGTTTGCGAGAAACCCGTGCTGCAGCCAGACCAGCTTCCGCACGGACAAACCTCAGACGAACTCCATCAGCATTTGAAGTTGCTCGTCGAACAGGAGCACGCCCGACGGCACGCGGGCAATGGCGATGCTGCATCCATCCCCGACACGGCCAGCTGGTCGGGTAGTGAGCATGGGAACAATGCTCCGATCCTACCATCCAAACGCAAGGCTGATCAACTGTCGCTGGAGTCCGAGAACCCTCACAAGTGCCGGCCCCCGGCCTCCAACGACCAAGCGATCAAACCACTCAAGCTTGAACGCAACGTGTTCCACACCACCGAAGACGAGGTCTTCATCTCCGCCCGCTCGCTGCTCAACGGCGGCCCGAATGCCAAGCTTTTCACCGAGGCCCAACACCGCTGCTTCACCATCGCGCTCAACTGGTTCGTGACGGTATGGCGAGAGCGGGCCGACGCACACGTCGCCTTTCTGCCGGAGCTAAAGGGTCTCGCACGCCTGGCCAGAGGAGCGGAGTCGGGACAGCCCGAGACGATGGAGACTTTTGAAGACTACCGCGTTGAGTGCATGCAAGAGTTTTGCCGCAACGACCGGCCCCGGCGAAAAACGTCTTTTCGGCACGATCTGTCTGTGGAGGACAAGTTGCGGTTGGTGCATCAGTTCATCTACAGGCCTGACGCAGCGTTGCAGCCTGGGCGCGACTGCTGCATCCTGGACGACTTGTTTGCCCTGCACGAGGCGGCGAAGGCGTGCAACGAAGCACCAAAGGGGAAACGTGAGGAGCTGGAGTTTGCCTTTGACGTGCAAATGGCTGCCTGCGTTTTGCTCGTGCTCTACGGAACTGTCCATGATTGAACACCAAGGCAAAAACGAGGAGCCTTCTTTTTCCTATTCCGACTAAGGCGTCCCAAACTCCATGACGTCGGGCACTTTGATCATGCCCATCACCTCGTCCTCGTCTTCGAAATCAAACGCTTCCTTTCGAAGCGCCCCGGCCCTGTACGCCTCCTGCAGCGTCGCGCTCTGGTGATCCGTGAACCAGCCGACCTTGACGATCCTCGACTCCTGTACCGCGTTTCCGAGGACCTCGATGAAGCGTCGCAGGAGGCCCTTTAGATTTGGACTGTCGTCCGCCTTGTCAAGCACCTGCAAGCCATCGACGACAATGTAGACAAGAGGCGGACCGACAGATAACAAATCTCCAAGCACTTGAATCGCCTCGGCCAGACTCTCCTTCCCATCCAGCCGCTCAAGTCTTTCCGTCGAGAGATCCACTCTATCCTCTGGACGAGACTCCGAATCGACGTCCGGCAAAATCGCCGCAACTTGGTGAACCAACGCTCCCACCATCTTCACAACCTCCTCCTCCAGATCAAACGACCCGTAGCGGCCAGCATCGTATGCGCAAAAGTACGCCGCAACGGGGACACCGAGGCCGCGCAACGCGCCGACGAGGAATGCGGCCGTCAGCGTGTTTCGTGACGGCTGCTCGTCCGGCCACGGCCCCGCTATCCACAGGGCTCCTGAGGACCCTGACGATGCCCACGAGACGAGCGCATGGTAGATGGCGCTGTTGACTGAGAGGTAGCGTGATTGGGCGGACAGCATCCCGAGCTTTTCTGTTTGCAAGTGTTGCGAGAGGTGCTGGGTGGCTTCTTGGATCGTTTCGGCTGACCAGTAGACCTGAGCGTCCGGTTCGTCAAGCTTTGGCGATTTATCGTCATCCTGGGAGGCCTGGCTGCTCTGACCCTCAAAATCGGAAGCCGGCTCAATCTGCAGTCGTCCAGGGGGGCTCTCGAGCGCCGCCTTTGGTCTCGGGCTGTCCATCGCCGTGCCCACGAGGCCGGCCTGACACTGCGCGCCCAACCTCAACGCCACGACGTCCAATAACCTCTTGCTCGTCACGCTACTCGCCTCCTTCTCCGCCTGCTCCGTGTGGTACCTCAGCGTGTCCATCGCATTCCGTATGTCGGCCTGCAACGAGTCGCCCAGGATGCTCCGCAGACGGTGCGCCGGGGAGCCGTACCACTCGTCCAGCAGCTTGGCGAGCAGCTTGAACAGCGCGCAGTAGTAGCACGCCACGTGCCGCTTGATATACTCGGACTCGGGCGCCGCCTTGCTCGACTTGTACAGCGTGCGCACCTGGTCGGATGCCCGTCCGAGGCAGTCGGAGATTCGCTCTGCGGTGCTCTCGCGCGTCTGAGCGGCCTGCGTCAGCAGTTAGCAATCTTCCAGCCTGGCGGACATGGGGAATGGTTTTGCCTTGACGCTGGCAGTGAACGCCCCAACGAACATGGACGCGTACCGATCCTCCCGCGGGAGCATGGCGAACAGGTACTCGTACTGGCCCAGCGCATCCAGCACCTTGCCAACCCAACTCTTCGCCCTGCCACTCCTCGTGTCCCGCCTCCTCTTCTCCATGTCTCTGCTCGCCTCGTCCAGCAGCCGGCGCAGCCGCTGCATGCTCGGCTTCTCATACTCGTCGCCGCGGACCAACAGGAGGTGCCTCTTTTTCCTGCCAAGGTGCTTCAACACCCGGCCCCACGACTTTTCCAGCTCTTGCGATATTTCCTCCACGTCGCCCACCCCGCTGAATACTTGGTAGCTGTGCCCGAGTCAGCTAAGCAAACTCGAGCGTCGCGGTTTGCGTACTATTTACTCTCCCCAAAACTCCCGCCGACGGTGTAAATTTGGACGCTCTTGTCGGCCGAGTCGCGGAAACCCCTCTCGCCGTTGTCCTCCTGCCGCTCCTCCCACTGCACCATGTCTGCAAGACTCTTGCTGTTTCTCGTGTCAGTTTCTTGCCTTCAATATACACAGGGGCGGGCTTGACTTTACTAGAGCGCGTCGTCTGGCTTCCTGCTACTCTGCGTCTCGCTGT